CTGGTCGTAACCCGAAAAGTTCGTTAACAGAAGCGTTTGTAACCCGAGGTTCCACTGTACTTTCTTTGCCCAGAACAAGTTGGATATAGCAAGTTCACTGTATGCTACTCACTGTCCCCAGAATAAAGAGAATGACCTACTGAACTAGTAATTTAAGATCACAAAAATTCTTTTAAACAGGACCTGTCCCAAACCTCTGTGTCACAAAACCTCTGCAAGATAATTTGAGCTAAACAGTTGCCCCAAAGTAACCAAGGGACTTTCTGTAGTTGATAATAGACATAAACCTACATCTCCCTGATCCTAGTCTTATACGCTTATCACTAAGGTTCTGCAAAGCTTCAAATGGATGATTCAGTTTGATAAACTACATCAAAGCAAATTTTCAAATTATGATGGGCACCTGCTTTGAAGCACCAAATCAAATTAGGGAGTTCTGAAGGACTTCAAAGCCTTCCAAAGTGCTTTAGTGTTTAAATAGCTTTTCCACAAGATCTGGGGTTCTAACAGACAATATATAAACTTCAAGGTTTTCCTAAAGCTCTGGGGCATGGTTCAGCCAAGGCCTTGGCCACAGATTGGAATTAGCAAGTGACAAGGGCCCCGGATCAGATTGTGCCTCTGTGATCGCAGATCCTGTACAGCTCTTTGGTTTACCAAATAGTTGTGGGAGATGAAACCATGCAAGAGATACCTAGAGTGCCACTGGCTAAAGATAAAAAGCAAGGCCAACTAAGCACAGGTGAGAGCTTTGGTAGAACTTAGCCTGTGGCAATAAGAGTCTTGCTCCCAGTCACTCAAGCCCTAGTCACCTTCTGGTTGGATTAATGCAATACACTCTACGTGGAGCTGCCCTTGAAGACCATCTGGAAATTACAGTTGGTTCAGAATGCAGCAGCACACACAGTTCTGGGCACTCCATGGTTTGTTCATATTACACTGCCGCTGTGCAAGCTGCACTGGTTTCTAGTTTCTTTCTGGGTACAATTCATTATCACCTTTAAATCCCTGAATGGCACAGGGCTAGTCTATTTGCAGGACTGCCTCTTCCAGAAGGTATCTGCCTGTCCCATCAGGTCAGATAGGGTGGGCACACTCCAGGTCCCTTCCCTTAAATGTTTTCATTTAGTGGGACCTAGGAAGTATGCCTTCTATGTAGTAGCCCCTGCCCTGTGGAACACCCTTCCATTGAGATCCAGCAAGCCTTTACCCTCCTAGCCTTTTGGAAAACCTTGAACAGCTGGTTCTTCCTGCAAATGTTGGGTTAGAGGGAGTCTGGAACCCAAGTAGAATGCTGATGTGCGGGGGAGTTTTGACTTGGGGCATCCAGAGTTTCTGTTATAGCTCGGGATGTTTTTATCATTGTTTTCTGAGCCACCCAGAGTTATGGTACATAAGGTGAGCAGCCATATAAGTCTTTCAAATAAATAAAAAAAATATTGTATGTAGTAGGTAATGTATGATTATGATTATTATGGTACCTAGAAATATATAACCAGAGCTTCTCAAGCTAGAATGGAACAACAGAAAAAGAGAACTACCTGTAGGAGAAGTAAGCAGGAACTTCAGATTCACACATTAAAAAAAAAAATCTGTTCATTTAAACCACATGCTTGGTTTTACAGTGCAATGTTTAGCATGATTATTCTTCCAATTTCCAAATACTTAGTCAAATTCCTACAGATAGCCTCTTTTTTCTCACATTAATTTGGAATTTCTTCCAAGTTAAGAAATTACAGACAGGCCTTAACAAGTTGGTTCTATGTCTTCATGGTTTACAAAGTATTGCTATAATGACAGGCTGCAACGACCATGTGTAATGGTGTGTGGGAATGACCTTGGGAGACAGGGGCAAAAACCACAGCCAGGTGAATGGTTGGATAAGAGGCAACTTAGCCCGCAGCAGGAATGCAGACATGGCAAATGTCTCAGAAGAGACCTTCCCTAGTTTCTTGGGCTGTAAATGTGACAGGGGAGAAATGTCCTTTCAGACTTGCAAGATTCTGGTCATATAACCTTACAATAAAGTAGAATTAGTTCATCTGGGCACACTTTCTGTCTGGCCTACCGATTAAGGCTGACACCATGGGACTTGGTGGTACTCATTTCCTTTAACTTATTCAGAGGGTTAGCCTAGTGTTAGGAAACCAGGGCAGGGGAGAAGGGGTAATCATTTTGGACAAATTTGGACTCTTCTGTGCACGGCATATTTATCTGCAGATTCTCTTGCCACTGATGAATTTGATCTTTCCATTAAAAATGTCACTAACAAAAGAGTGTGAGTTGTATAACTCCATGTCCTTTGCTAACAGCAGTATAGTTTGTGCCATAATTCACGCGCAAAGAAGTCACTTAATGTTTCTTAATCATTTGCGTCACGGACTGATTTTTTTCTTTTCCTATTCATATGCTTGGTCTAGCTGTAAGCAATTCAATTGCTAGAAGGGAATGTTTACTTAATAATCTGAGGAGAATGCAATGTTTAATCTAGATAAATACTAAAGATTAAATAAAGTACACATTTCTAATCCCCATTGTTTAATTCAGCCAAGAGAAGCCTGCAGTTCCAAATGTAAAGGAAAATGTAAGATTTCTTCAAAATGTTTACGGTTTTAAAAGCTGGGCAGAAAACCAGATTCTTGAGTTCACACCCTTAGCCTTAAATAACCTCCAGTTGACATCACTGGCAATAAAAATCCAGCAATTGCAGTGCGCAGCTATTGGCACACAAACACACCCAGATCCTCCCTTGAGGCAGAGCCGTAAAATACAAGTTATTGTACATTTTAAAAAAGAAAAGGTGTGTAAGTCTATTTGCATAGCGGAAGAAATTGCGCATACTGATTTCCCTGTTCTCTTACTCATAGAATAAAACCAAAAAAATAAAATCATGGGGCCATCACATTTTATATTATTTGGGAAGAGTTTAGAATGGAAGTTTCAACAAATCCCCTGAAAAATAAAGATGGAGAGACTCCCCTAAGACAGAATGAGAAAATTGGCTCAGACAGCAGCTGTTGGGGGCATTTAAAGAGGCATCCCTTGCTTCATTCTCCTAACCTTGTGGCTTCGTGTCCCATCATTGCTGGACAGAGCTGTATGTATCACACACTCTGTCCTGTACACTTCTCACACAGCTACTGTCCTAGGCGTGGTGTGCAAGATGAAGGAGTAAAACAAATACCTGAATCAAGACCTTCAAACTACCCAGGCTCCTAAACTCAGGGAGCCTCCTTAATAGCTCTCTTAGGCATTGCCAGATGCTGCGTCACAAGTTATCTTAAACCAGCACTTGTATTTTAAATGGGAACTAGGAGGTAACTAACCACAAAAACTAACTCATGCCAACCTCCCTTTGTTGTTCTGCTTATCTCACTACAAGCAGAAAATCCAATCCATGTTACCAAAAAGCAGATGATTGGCATTTGACATCATTTCGGGTCAGCATTTATTATACAACCATATAAAGGCTGTACAGGCCCTCCTTCAGTAGGCAGAACCTTATGGTTTGTCCCCAGGGCTGTTCCAATAAACTTGGCTCAAGCAGATAGTGCGGCCTCCACTTGTCGATTGGGTCATGGAGAATTTTTTGCCTTCAAAGATGCTATCAGATAATAAATAATTTCATAAATGTGATACAATCCAACTGCCCAATCAGTATGGTCTATTTCAGAATGCGGTATGAAGAGATAACAGCATTTTCTCATGGGTCATATGTAGCTAATCCCCTTTGTCCTTATTCTATCTGCACAGACAATGCCTTAAGAGGCTTTTTGCACATACTCACTTGCAGTTGTCTCACATGAATAATTCATGGTTTGATCCTCTTTGCATTGGAAGGTCTCAACAGGTTTTCTGGTCCCTAAACTTAATGCGAATACCACGCTTCAGGAAATGTCGAAGTGCAATCAGAGATCTGAGCGGCTGTCAAAAACTGGAATCTGTAGCAACTAGAAAGTGGGAAGGACCATTTGGTTCTCCTCCTTAAACTGTGTTTCTAGCCTACCATGCCAAATGCTTTCATTTATTTATTTAGTCAATATATAAGTTGTCTCAATTGTTGAAGTGACACTAGGCAATATGCC